GAGGAGACAGGAAAGGTCTGCTGCACGCTGTAGGTCAAGCTCCCTGGCCAGAGACCAAACTCATGCTGCAGTGGCTGCGAAGAGCTTCATATTGCTGTCACTTAACCCCTTGTGCCACCAGGGAAGCACCTACCTCAAGTGTGTTTCAAGGCACATAGTGCTTCTTAAAAGTTCACATCATTCAAGTCGTGCTCTGTGGCTCTCAAACTTGTTTTCACTCCCAATAAGCCGAATTCGATCGGTAAAAATGGTTCCAGGGGGCACGTTGGGAGCCACAGGCTCATCACTAGGGCTCATCACTTAGGTCTTTGAAAAGCCTCTGAGGCAGTTTTCATAAGCCAACCTACACCCCTGGGGCTTGAGGAGAGCCGGAAAACCCCACCCAAGAGGGGGTTGAGAGTTACTCTTTGAGTCAAGCACCCAACATCCTCCAGGTAGAGGCCTCCGGGCCTGTTTGGCCCCAGGTGCTATCCAGCTCCATCCTGTCCAACTCTCTGAAAGATTGATGCAGGAGGCCAGAATGCAAAAGCCCACCAGGAAGCCCACCTGGGGGCAGGAATTCAGAAACCTGCCTAGAAAATTCAGACAATGAACCCCTCCACGCCCTAGAATCTTTTCCCGCCTCTGCAAACAGTCTCCCACCTGACCTCTCCTCACTCTATAAAAGCCTGCCTACTCCTAGCAACATGAGCAGTTTCACTGACCCCCACCTTGGGTCCGTGAATCCAGCCCGGGGCACAATAAATTTCCCCCCCTTCAAAAAATTTAGCCTGGCTCTCCTTTTCTTTACCACGCCAAACCTTTCACTCTCCTCTGAAATCAGAGGAGCCAATTTGTTCATCTGAATCTGTATTTCTATTTGTTTCAACAGAAACAACAATCTGATGACTCCCCTTCCCACTAGGAATGGGCAGGACTCATCAGGGGTACTACAGGGCAGAGCAGGGGCCCGGATGAGGAATAGTCTCTGAAGGGCTCAGGTTCAATGACCCCCTGCACTGATCTTGAATCCCCTTTACAAAGACAAATCATTTCTTCCCACCATTAGTGAGACTGTCGAAAATACAAGTCTCCTTTGGCTTAAAAGAAACTATCTGTAGGACCTCCCTGATGGTGCAGGCAGTTGAGCGCTGCACTGTGAAGCTGTCTGCAGCCTCTGCAGTGTGGGTTCAATCCTGGCCGACCAGGGAGAAACCCACATGGCAAGCAGACCCCTCCTCTCTCACCCGCTGCTCCCCTCAACAGTGTATTTCTTCAGTCTGCCTGTTTTGTTCCCCACTCTGTCTCCAGTGAAGAGGTCACCCTCCTGCGCATCTGGCCTATATACTCCGCTTCTTGTATAAAAATAAATAAATCTTAAAAAAAAAAAAAAAGAAAGAAAGAAACTATCTGCAGCCACTGCAGCACGAGTTTGCTCCCCAGCCAGGGAGGTGACCCACATGGTGCAGCAGACCTCTCCTTTCCATGGACATAGGAACAAGAAAGGCTGCCATGGAGGGGCAGGCTGAAGAAAGAGGGAGTCGGGCGTCTGGAGGACTTGGTCTCCTTCACAACTAGCCAGGGAAGACAACACAGGGAGAGAAACATGGCTGATTTTAGCCCCATGTCTTATATATATAGCCCATGTCCTCTATACAATGTTAAACAGGCCCCAACTATATTCTAAACACCCCACTAATGTTTATTATTGAGCAAGACAGTATATAAATTCATTAAGACCTTGTTTACATCCCTTGTGGTCAAGGTTAATAGTTGTATGTTTTCAAACCAAGATGCTCCACCTTCTAAAAGCCCATCAATCCAGGCATAATTGGCCAAATACTCCTATCTGGGCATTTGTTTAGATGTCATAGGGCTTTTGCTCAACTGGAGGGGGCCAAGCTCCATAAAACTGTCCTAAATGTTCACCTTTATTCAAGTCACAGCACTTGGTTTAATCAAATTATTACTTTTCAAAGAGGAACTGTAAACTAATCCCCAATGCATTAATTTGTCAATCATTGCTTTGATAACTATTCTAATATTCATGCCAATCCTAGCAGATGTGTTTAAACAGAATACATTCACACATAAAGTAAGCCATTTTCTATTCCAAGAGTGACCATCTTCATTTCATAATTATTATCAGTGTGGAGTGCTAGCTGGAGACCTCACATAAATCATCAAAGCAAATTAAAATAGCACAACGAGAAATTGTTATTATCAAATTCACATTCACATTGTTCCAGGCTCAGTTGGAAGATGGGCTGAGCACCTATATCCTCTCATTTACTTTTGAAAAACACACATTTTTCAAGCCTCAGTAATTTGGTTAATTACCTATAAGTGTAGCTGCTTCCAATTGTTAAATGCTCACCCCGGGCCAGCACAGTGGTCTTAGCTATGGCATCCACCATAATCAATGCCCACTTCTGGCTCCGAGCCCCCCACTCCCTGTGTTCTGGTCTAGGATGGTGAAAGCAGCCCCTTTGTGGGCTCATAAATAGGCCTGGAGCACTGCACTCCACCCAAAGGGTCACTGATAAATTTCCCACCTGTTTAAATAAGGTCCCTCCAGAATTACTCAAGAAGGTAAGGAGAAAAATGGTCAGTGAGGAAATATCAGAGCAGAGAGAAGCCAGGTCCAGCCTACATAGAAAATAACCCACCTGTTGCTCAACTGTCCCAGGCCAGGCAGGTTCATTGTTGATTTGGGCAAATGAAAAGAGAATTTTGGAGGCTTCAGTATCTTTGACAGGTCTTTCATGCTGGATCAGGGGACCAGACTCACAGGCAGACCAGCAGGCAGGGAGGCAGCAACTGAGCCCTCTAGGCCCAGAGAATCTCCCCTTTTAGCCCTCACTTCTTGGCCCATGTGTCTGCTGTTCCAGGCACAAATACCCCTTGCTCAAGCTCCCAAGCACCCTCCACAACAACAGGTAATCATATGTGGGCAACGAAACCTGGGAGGAAAGCAAAGCCACGGCCAGAGGCCAGTGAGGAAAAAAAAAGCCTGACTTACTCCATATTCCCTATTTCACCCTTCAAGTGCCTGGAGGTTCCCTTTGGGACCTAAGGAAGAAAGGGACATGGCCAGGTACCGGTGGAACTCTTCAAGGGCATCTTCCCAATAAATCTACCCAACATTCTGGCACAATGTTACTATTCCCAGTGTGTAGATAGCTGATTTGGAGGTAAAATGAACCAAGCTTTGAGAACTTCAAATAAACACATCCCCTGCATCCCACTCAGCAAAGCCTGAAACTAGCATATGGAGAGGAGATGGGATTCACAAGAACTACAAGGGGATTGATGGCAGCCCGAATTAGCATATAAAAGACAGGGTGTACCTGGATTGAGAAGAGCCGGAAGGGTTTCCTCTTCTCTAAAAATGGGTATTGTTGAACCATGGTCGTTGAATAAAAAAAAAAAAAATCAGGGAAAAAGATGCTTTGGAGTAGAAGGGGAGGGAAATAAAGTCAGAAAAAAGAGTTGAGAAAGTGGCCAGAGCTGGACATCACCTGAGAGCAGGAAACACCAGCTGGCTAGAAAGTGAGATTGATGGGAGAAATCCTAGATCCCAGGATGGGGAGCCCTGGAGAATCCAGGCAGGAGGTCAGCTAGCCCAAGAGAAATTATCAGCAGCTTTCTAGTCTCCCTGAAAGATTTCCTGAGATGGAGAAATAGAGCAACACTGGCTGCCTCATTTAATCTTGTGTCCTCATGGCCAAGAGGCTCTCCATAATGCCCTGCTCAAATGTCCCTGGCATTCCCTGAGCCCATTTGTGCCTCCTCAGTGCTCCTTAGATGGAAAGCTTCTGCCCAGCAGCGCGCTCACTTAAGAAAATGCCGTCAATCTGCAAACAGTCAGTACGCTGTCTCTAAGCATGCTCTCCTTTAAAGCAAGGGAATTCAGAAAAGCCAGACAGCCACCTTGGGAGGGGAGGGGTGTGTGGAGGAGGAGATGTTACAGAGAGGATTCCAGAATGAGAAAGAAGTAAACCAAGCTAGAGGTCCCCTTGCAAATCTTCCAGAAGCCTTTGATTCAACTCCTTTCATCCTTTTTTATGAAGTAAGTTTTTCATCACTTTGTTCATTTTTGTCACCATATCTGTCATCTGTCCAACTTCTCCATATCCTTTGAATATTTTTAAATCTAATATGCATGGGAACAATCTCTCACAGTATCGAAGTCTCATCAATTCAGAATAAGTTGGAAAAGTTATATCCTACTGAGTAAGAAATCTCAGTGAAAAGTATTTTCAAGGGAAAAAAGCATGTCTGTTACAAGACTACATCATGGATATTAATAATATATCATGAGCAAGTTAACAAAAGACTGAGTTACAATAACATTTTTATGCCACTTCCTACTTCTCACAGTATTGCTACATGCATTATTTTATTTTGCCTATTTTATTCAATATGTAATTTATAGCTAATAGATCATCAAGTCTAAGTCAAAATTACCCTGCTAAATTTGAACTTTTAACTCAATAAGGATTATATATAATTGCTCCCAGTCTGTATTAGACAGTCTGAATTAATGAGGTTCTGCTCTGTTGTAGCTGTGATAAACCTGACAATTTTATGGCCATCTTTTATCCCAGAGTGTCACTCCCATCTATGCATTAGTAATAAATACTGTTTCTTCACACAGGAACTTTTGTCATAACAGAGCATCCCACTTTAAGGAAGTTTCACCACGTAAATTATCTTATAACTCAAATACCATTGAACTGCTTTATATGATAAACATGCTGGCTTTGATTTAAAAAGAGCCTCAAAAAAAGGACACCGGCAGCTGTTGTGGAGTCACTGAAATGATCACCTTTCTGTTTGTTCAGGGAGGGAAAAATGAGCCACAATTAGTCCAACTCATCATAGAGAAAGGAATTAAATCAGCCCGAGTGAAAACATGGTCACAGAATCCTCCACCTGAGGACCCGAGTAGCCCTGAGTTTGGAGTCAGAACAAGATTTCTTACTCACGATGGTCAGAAAGACCAGGCCTGTACCTACCTTAAAAAGTCTTAAAATGTTAGCAACCATGATGGACACAGAGCTTGCTGCAGCACCTATGACGCCAGAAATCTTGTCCGGTTTGGTGAAAATGGGCGGGTCCCCGTTTGCACACTTCACGTCAGAAGCGTCTTTCTCTATCAGAGCCTGCACGAACGTCAGCGACTGCTCCAAAGCATAGGTGTCCCTGGAGCAAGTGTCGAGGATCCGGACACCCAGAGTGATGTTAGTGAGGAGATCAGGGTCCTTATTAATCTGGTCGATGGCATAAAGCATGGCCTCCAGTCTGTGGATACCCTTTTCCTTCTTCAGGTCCCCACAAGGCACCCCTCTCTCTCCCTTTGCATGCACAGGGAAGAGACCCCCCAAAATGATGTCCCCATCCATTCTTATGGAATGGGCATACTCCTGGCTGTGAGTTCTTTGCATCATTGTGAGGATCCAGTAGAACTTGGCCGTCAGGAGGAAGAAACAAGGGCAAGAAGCTGATCGCTTGCCCTCGCATACCATTTTCTCCAGGGGTGGTGTTGCAATCCAAGACCCAAAGTTTATTCTTGCCGAAGAAGGAGGAGGACCACCTGAGGCTGCACCTTCTGGAGGCTACCATCAGGGCCCATGGAGAAAGGCTCTGTGGGTTTCAGCAAGTTATCTTGATTTGAATGTCACAGTGAATTTCCATCAGACCCCTAAGGTTCAATTCTATTTCCATACAAAGTCAACAAGCCTGGAATGGTGCAAAAATTTGAATAACAGTTGAGGTTCTAAGGTTGGGATGAGGTCAACAATTCAGGTCCTGGAAGTCATCCCTGTGGCAGAATTGTTCCTGGGGGTAGGGGGAGAGAAAAAAGGGTTCAGTTCAATGAATCTCTATTTTTCACACGTTTAAGCCCTGTTTATACCAACCTCTTTTTTTCTTTAATTTCCCCTATTCAGTAAGAAACTTATTCTTTTTGTTCCCCAACGATTCTGAACACCTGGCTGTGCTACATCTAAACAGGGAGATGGATGACAATTTTAGAGCAAAGGAAGCAGGAAAATATCAAAAACTAGGTTGATTCTCCCAAGTCAAAAGGTATTTTTATTTACCATTTTATTTCACCAAGTCCTTTTTCCGTGCCAGTAAAAATCCTATGATTGATGGCATTATTTCCTGCCAAATCTGTTTTTACTTTGCACAACTGTCTGAATTTAGCGTTTAAATGTTGTCCACAAAATCATAATGAAAGGTTATCTTCTGTGATGTATTTAACAAGCCAGTTGTCTGTTAATAACATTTTTTGGTGCCTCAGATTTCCCAGTGGGAAAGTGATTATTTGATCATAAGAAAAAATGAATGAATGAATGAATGAAATCTACCAAAATGTTTAAGTTTTATAGCTTGTAAAAAGATTTACTATAGGGCCTCCCCTGGTGGTGCAGGTGGTTGAACGTTGCCCTGTGATGCTGTCCACAACCTCCGCAGCACCAATTCAATCCCAGCCTGCCTGCGAGGGTCCCGCATGGTATGGCAGACCTCTCCTGTCTCACCCGCTGCTCCCCGCAGCAGTGTATTTCATCACTCTGCCTGTTCTGTTCCCCACTCTGTCTCTGGTGAATCCTCTCACCCTCCCACGCATCTGGCCTGTACCCCAGCAGTTCTTGTATAAATAAATCTTTAAAAAAAAATTTACTATAGAAACTTAGCCATCTCATATAATTGTTTTATTGTTCTCTGGTTTAAAAAAAAAAAAAAGAAACTTGAAAATTGAACACATAGGGAGGGTCATGTGTGAAGAAGATCCTGTTGCTAGTGTCAGAGCTTCCTATTAAATGTGTTGGGGTGGAAGCCACAGGCAGGCTTACAGTTCTTTAGGAAACTTGCCTTGATCCTAGAATCACTCCAACAAATCAGAGCTGGAGATCAATTGAAGACTTCTTAATTTCGTCTGACTCAGTGGGGAAAACAGTTATTTCATCAAGACTAGAAATAACCTAGAGTGAAAAAGCCTACAAGTAAATCTGTAGTAAAAGTTTATTCAGGGACCTCTACTCTTTTTTTTTTTTAAAGATTTATTTTTTATTATGCATACAGGAATTGGGGTATAGGCCAGAGGTGTCGTGGGGGGTGGGGGCGGGTGAGAGGATTCACCAGAGACAGAGTGGGAAACAGAACAGGCGGATTTTGACTGAAATACGCTACTGAAGAGAGCAGTGGGAGAGTCAGGAGAGGTCTGCTGCACCATGTGGGTGGCTCCCTAGCTGGGGATAGAACCAATGTGGCAGTGGCTGTGTTATAGGACAGGGAGAGGGGCAGCCCAAACCCCGCAAACCTGCCTATTCTAAATGGGTTCTGCCATCCGCCACATCAACACAAAACATGACACTTTAATGGGAAGGATCTTTAATAAAAACTAGGAAACAATACAGGTGAGGCAAAGAGTCTAGTTTCTAAATGAAGCACCCAAAGTTACCCATCCCCTCGTGGGTAAAACTCCATCCATATGGGGTCGGCCCAGAGCAAGGCCCCAAAGTCTACCACAAGTCTAAAACATCTTCCAGTGGGGACCCACAGAAAAGGGTCACAAACAACCGGACAAGCCCGGAAGGAAAAGAGCAAAATCAACATCCAGACAAAAGCTGCCATTGTCACCTCCCCACGGGTCTCACCCACATCTGTGTCACCCAGTCCACGACCAAAAGACAAGCGCAGTTTCTTCACATGTCTCTAGGCTCCATGCGCCTCCTCCAGGTCTCCTGGCTCCATCTTGCTTCCTTCCTTCCTCAGTCTCTTCTCCAGCTTCTCCTCCTCCTGCTCAGCTCCACCCTCCCTTGGGTGGGGCAGGGAACCTCCCCCTTTCCTGGGGACCACCCTGTTACAGCTGCAGATAAGCTTCATAGGTTGCATCTTAAGCCCTTGCACCGCCACGGAGGCCCAGGGACCTCTACTCTTAAAGAATTCCATGAGATTCTTTCAAAGGACTTCAGAGGAGAATTCACTTAACATAAGGGAATAAGAGATTGGAAACAAAGTTATTGTTAAGAGAATAAACAGCATGACTTGTTCTGGCAATGCTCATTTGTAGTCTATTTATACATGTGCAGTTGAAACCTGAAATTTGGACAATTCTCCTCTTCCCTACCCAACCAACATCTGGTTGTATTTTCCATTCACTTGCGCCATTTCCAGTTCATAAAATTTTCCTTCCATCCTCCCTGTCCCACAGGAAAGCATGGTGCATCCCTAGGGGACGATTGAACATATGTCCAAAATCTTCAGAGAAAGCTGTACTTTGTTCATGTTCACATCAGAAAGGGGGACCAAGAGTCATTGTACTGGATTTCTGAGTAGATACCCCAGGTCTGGCCAGACAATGGCCTGCTCTGCTGAGATAGTTCTATTCTGCCTCTGGCAAGCAGCCCTGCCTCCTGCCAAATGGTAGGCCCTGGATTTCTACTATTCTGCCCCCAAATACTTAGTCCTTTTCTCAATTTTCTCACCACTTGGCTGATAGTCCCTCACTCAGTTCTCCTAGCAGCTGCTTCTCCCTCAGAAAATCTGTGCCTTGACAACAGTCTGACCTCAGGCATTCCACAAAAGGAAACACAGAAAGTCAACTTGACTTTCTGGATGAAACCATTTAAATGACCTTGACTAAGGGGAAGTGAAATTGCATTTTCGTTTCACAAAAAAGACCAGTTACAAGACAGTGAGACCTCATGACTCTGGTTACCAATTCAGAACTTGGGACCAAGCCCACGCCGTGGAGTTGACCCTAACATACCCACTTACTGACAGATGACAGAATAAATGGCCACACGAAGGACAAATGTTTACAGGGAAGAAAAACAGAAGCTGTTGTTCTCCGAAGACCAGCCTTGCCTCATGGTAGCAAGCCACCTCCCAGCACTGAAAACACTTCAGAAAATAAATGTTTTTCTTTTAGAGATGAACATAAAAACAGTCCATCTGTTAATTACAAATCATCCTCACCTACTAGGGACTAGCCTAGTTGCACTCACTGTACAGTCTTGGAATGAAAAAAATTGAATGTCTTTTACAACTATTGGTATTTGGGATCGCCTTTAGTCTCTCTAACATCTCATAGGTCTGCTGACAGTTAAGGAAGGAGTCTGGGGGTGAATGAAGAGCTATGACACAGTTATCGGTTTTGTTTAATGGCTGAACATACCTAACTGGAAAGCAAAAGTGTTGTCTATTATTTAGGCAACAGCCCACTTGAATTTTATATAAGTTCTCTCCTCCGCAGCATAGGATGGATGGCACATCACCCTCTGAAGCCTGGTTTCCTGGTCTTCAAAGGAGCGACAGAACCTGCCACCCGCATACATGGAAAGTGCTTGCGTGGTACAGAAAACAGGAGCTGAAAAATCCATTTTTTACTAAAACAGAGCAACTTTTCCCTTTTTTTTACTAAACATTGTTTGTCACTTTTACATTAAATCAGAGCTACTTCTAAAATATGGAAAGATTGGCGTTATTTTAAAATCGGATACATTGTCATAAAAATCACTCACTGTAGTCAGCTGAAAGGTTTAGTTTCTCTTTTAAATTCTAAAGATAAAACATACAGGATTGCCCAGCTATGCAAAAGCAGACGGTCCTATGAAACGTTTGTAAGCCAAAATGGAGTAAAGTGAAGAAGCAGTTACTGCTAGTCCACATGGAAAAGTTTTTTTAGTGTTCCCAGACCCGAAAAATAACTTACTACATCATACCCAGTAAGACATAAAAACCTAAATAGGACACAAGCATAGAGTAAAGGCAGGAATAATGGGATAAATATGTGGCCTGCAGAAAGGGGTGTGGGGGAGCAGGCGTGGCCTTGATGCTGAGGTGCTCACAGTCCACCTTATGGCCGCTGCAAACCACGCTACTTTGCTTTTGGGCTTCTGTCGTAGAAGCAAAGCTTCTCTTTGGATTTCTTTCAATTAGAGAAAACAAATAGCAGCGCAGGTCTTTTGTAAAAGCAAAACAGTGTAACGGAAACGTTTGAAAAAATGGAAGATCCCTGTACTTGAAAGCTTGTGAAAAAGTTATGTAGATTGTGTCACAAGACAGGGAGAGGTGCACCCCAGACCCTGCAAACCTGCCTGCTCTAAATGGGTTCTGCCATCCACCGCAACAACACAAAACATATGAGACTTTAATGCAAAGGAACTTTAATACAACTAGGAAACAATACAGGAAAGGCAAAGAATATAGTTCCTAAATCAAGCACCCAAAGTTACCCGTCCCCTCATGGGGAAAAGTCCCCCCAAACAGGATTGGCCCAGAGCAAGGCCCCAAATCCTGCCACAAGTCTAAAGCATCTTCCAGTGGGGACCCACAGAAAAGGATCAGAAACAACCAGACAAGTCTGGGAGGAAAAGAGCAAAATCAAAATCAAGATAGAAGCTGCCATTGTCACCTCCCCACGGGTCTCTCACCCACATCTGTGTCACCCAGCCCACGACCAAAAGGGGCTTCATAGGCCTCCACCAGGTCTCCTGGGTCTCCATTTGGCTTCCTTCCTTTCTCAGTCTACTCTGCAGCCCCTACTTTCCCTGCTCAGCTCCACCCTCCCTTGGGTGGGGCAGAAAACCTGGGCCCTCCCCCACAACCACCCTGTTACAATTGGATCTCATCACAGGACCTTCCGTAGCCTCCTAGACCCTTACACCATCCTCCTGCATTCACCTAAATGTATCCTAGTTGAAGTCAATGAAATATGTAAAGAAATAACGAGCTTTATCATGCCAAACGACTCTCTACTTCATGTACTCTACTTGGTTTACAACATAACAGTTTTTTCAGAATGGTAGGAGCGAATACTGTACATTTAC